CCCCCCCCCCCCCGTCTCTATCATGCCCGTGTGTTGCGTCTTGTGATGGGTTTCGGTTGGCCGTATCACGTGTGTCGGCACATTGCACAATGATGGCCAGAGGAGGACACGGCCAATGACACGCGCACGACCTCTTGCCGTTACGTGTGTCTTGCCTTGTTTTGTGGGTGTTCGTCTCAGTTGATCTGGCACCAGTAGACACCTTTCGGAATGTATTTGACCTACCGTAGGTGGCATGGCTCAAGGTATCACACCCCCCTGGACCGATTTTCAAAGCTCGATTACTCCAAGACGTAGAGGATGCCGGAAGTGAAGCATACGTTTTGGGAAAAAGCTCTCGACGAGGCGGTTCTAACGCCGCCATTATCGACTCCGTAGCCTGCTTTTGCTGCCGAGATATTGAGCTTCGAAAATCGGTCCGGACGGTGTGATATCGCATGCAACCTTCGGTGTCAGTCTCCGTCACACAGGAGAAAGGCAAAGACAGTGCCCCCTTTTTTTGCTCATGTTGTGCCACCACTAACAGCGGTGGCTGTACATGCGTAACCCGGAATTTTCCTGGCCTTTCCTTCGTTGTTGCCGAAGTATTCGTCATTGGAATATAGCCGTCGCGCCCTCTTTTTTTGTTCTGAACGAGATCACACCCATTGAATGGCGGTCTTGCTTCTTCGTTGCGTGGGAAGGAGTTTTCAAGGAAAAAATGGCGACATTACGGGTGTACTTCTTGGTGGTGCCCTTACTACCTCTTTGTCCTTTTCACACCTCACCAATCAATGATGGATGTCAATCTCGCTTCGTGATCGTGGTCGGAACATTTCCAGGGAAATATGGCGGCGCTATCATACATACGGATGTAATTCTCGGTGTAACCGTCACGCCTCAGTCGTTTTTCTGGAATTGCCTTTTCTTTTTTTCGTTCCCATGAATGTCATGCCATGTAGTCTTGCTTCGTGACCTGGTCGGGCGTGTCGGACACCTCGAGGCATTGTGGGCTAGCCTTGCTGCTGGTGGCTGCGGCGGTGCACGGCCTGGCGGTGGCTGCTTGCATCGAGGGGGGGGTCATCTTTCGCGATGGACAGGTGTGTTTGTGCGAGAGAGAGAGACAGAGACAGAGACAGAGACAGAGAGACAGAGAGAGACAGAGAGAGACAGAGAGAGACAGAGACAGCGAGACAGAGACAGCGAGAGACAGAGACAGACTGAGACAGAGACAGAGACAGAGAGAGGGAGAGGAAAAACCAGAGAAAGAGGGAGAGAGGGCGAGACAGGCAGGCATTTAGAGACAGAACGATAGAGAGAGACAGACAGACAGACAGAGAGGCAGACAGACAGGGAAGGAGACAGAGAGAGAGAGACAGAGAGAAGGAGCGGTCGTGTGCAACATACCGTGCTGTTTTCTCCCTAAATAAACGCCACTCCCTCTCCCCCCCCCACCGCTCAGACGTTTTTGTCGACCATTGGGCTTAAGCAAGTGGTGACCGCCTACTCCCTCGGCGCCAACAGCGCGGAAATCAACGGCGGCGACAACACCATCACCACCGCCAGCACGCCTTCCTACGTGGCCGCTGCCGCAATCACGTCCGGGAGGCTGTACAGGGGGGGCGGGCGGTCTACCGGCACCACGGCCTCGAACAGGACGGGCTCGACCGTTTCTCGCGGAAACGGCGGGACGCAGGCGTCGGGTACAAGGTCGAACCGCAGCCCCCCGGCGGGGCGGGGTGGGGGGGGAGACGTGGGTCTTCCGTTGTTGGGGAGGGAGGGCGAGGGGGGCAACGCGCTGGGGGAGATCGAGCTGTAGGGTGGGGGGCAGACCCTCCACCACGGGCATCCTGGGTGTGGCGTGTTCGTTGCTGTACTTGTCTTTCGGGCTTGCTTGGAGAGGAAGAAGGAGCGTGCAGCTGGCCACTTCGAGTTCTGATGGTTTCGAAGAAAGCCCGTATTTTATGCATGCACGTAGCCAGTTTGAATTTTTGGTTGTTTTTCGTTTTTTGTGTCGGCTACCGCTCTCTCCGGCGCGAGCCGATTGCGTCCGGTTCGCTGAGGAATCGTGCTTTCATCTCGCCATCCTTGGGGTTCTGTGACGGAATTGCTCACATGTACTCGTTTTTTTTTTTTTGTGGGTTTTTCGTCGGTGACCACCATTGTGGTGGACAGTACAAGACGAAAGGATCGTCTTGTGTAGCGTCAACGGGTGTTCGTGTGGTTGACAATTTCGTTCGAAGTATTTTTCTTGTCGTTTGTACCTTGTTCCTTTTCCGACGTGTGTAGGATCTGAGTAGGAAGCTCCGGCCGGCATTATTTTTGGAAGACAAAAACGCCGACAACAACAACCGGAGAAGCGACCGATTGTTTTTACCAGCGAGGGAAAAACAGTTTGGAGCGGTTTTGTCACTTCGTGCTCACTTCAGCGAGGGCTCAGCAACGAATCCAATCCATTTGCGTGTGTCGGAAACAAGTCATTGATTGTGCTGGCTCCTGGCTTGAGCAAATGAAGGCAACTAGAACACTCGTCAAGTCGTACCGCCGGCATGTGTCGATACCGCCCTAATTGAGGCGGTTCATTGGGGGAGTCAAGGATAAGGAATCTCAGTCTTCATCCTCGCCTTGCTGATTCAGTCCACCAACGGACACACACCTCTCGCTATGGGAAAGCCGGCCGCCTGTGCCTCCGCCCCCCCCCCCCCCCCCCCCCCCCCCCCCCCCCCCCCCCCCCCCCCCC